GGCCCTAGCATAGTGCGAGGGCTGCCTGGCAGGCACCAGTGCGACGGATTGTGCATGCCATGAATGATCAGCAGGCTGAAGCCGGGCATTGCACTTTTCCCCCTCTGCCACATCCATGGGCCCTTGAGACCACCAGACCCACTGTAGCCACTAGAAGGCTGGAGTGCAGCACTGGATCCCACGTCTGTGAGACGAGCTGTCTCACATCTTGGGAAGGTGTGAGGTAGTGCCTTAGTGCGCAAGGATGGTGGCAAGGATGCGTGATGTGCGAAATGTATTTGAAGAATGTGCATGCTGTACTGTAAGCCAGGAAGCTGGGTGCAGTCACGGCACCAGCCTTTGCAGCCAGTCCACGACCGCTCTGCCAGGTGCTGCAGCTCCACCTCATAGAGCTGGCCTCAGGCTGACACATCTATGCAAACGTGCCAAGCGCCAAGCCAACATGCAAATTGCACTGAGCTGCTTTTCAGCAGCCAGTGGACAATGATTGCTGCAGCAACGCTCCGGTGTCTATCAGCGCTGCAGGCAAAGCAGAGGCTGCAGGTCTGTGGCGTCTTGATCGCCTTGAGCCACTGGAGCCAGCAAAAAAGCCCCCTCCTCAGTTAGCGCCAAGTAAGTTTGACAAAGGTTCGTCTGACTGAAACCCGCGCCAGCAAGCTCTGAAGCCAGGGGGCAGCATGACAGCAAACTTGGGATGCTGGGCAATCCTCAGCTGAATGACGGGGTTCGTGCCCATGTGCCTGGTGTCTCGCCGGATCGTGGAAGGCATGCAGCGGGATCACCAGATCAAACATGGCATAGGTCTTCTTGTTTGAGAGCTGAGCTAGACCAGCTGAATAGACCTGCGCATCAGGGATTTGGCGGCCACACTCACCCCGCAGAGCAATATGCTTATTCCCCCAGCCTTGACTTTGTGTGGCTTTGGCATGGGCTTGGGCTGGGGTCTTATTTTTGGTGCTGCCCTTGAAGTGGCATCATCATCATCATCATCACTGCCTGGATCAACTAGATCCACTGGATCTGGGGTGGCTGGATCCTCCACTAGGTCGGCTGGATGCTCTGGATCCACTGGATCCTCTGCGTCGCAGTCACTGACTAGGTCCACTTCCACTGAATCTGTTGGATCTGGGGTGGCTGGATCTGGATCCTCTGGCTCTGGGGTGGCTGGATCCTGTGGATGGAAGTCCCTGACTGTGTCCGCTAGATCCACTGGATCCACTAAATGCGCTGGATCCTTGGTTGGAAGCACTGGGGCGGAGGCTGGCTCAATTGGACTGTTCTCTTGCTCAAAAGCCTCCATCACCTCTCTCCGGTTCTCCTCCAACCACTCCTGGAGCTGCCTTTGGATGACTTCTTCCTCAGCCATAGGACAGGGTTTGAGTGTCAGGCAAGGAGGGCTGGCTCAAAAGTCAACAGCCCCTGTCGCCAGGTGACAGCTTGAAGTCGCCCAGCTGGTACTGGCTTCAGCAGCACCGGGATAAAGTCAGGCGTCACCCTCACCGGCAGGCGTCCTTCGGGCAACCCACAGGGGAGACTGCAAAGCACAAAGGGCGCCCTGTATGTAACAGAATCACACACTAGCCAAGCCTTGGGTGCAGTTTGGGCAGGACAAGGGCAGGGTCCTGGCTCACAGGGAGGCTCAACGTTCTCCCGCTGCGCCAGCTCTCGGTACTCCGCCAGGCACTCCAAGGAGATTCTCCCCGGCAAAAGGCAAACAGCCATGGCTGTCGGGAGGGGGGTAGATGTGCTGAGCTGCTGTGCCTGCTGAGCGCCTGCTGTTTGCTGATGAGTGCCTTGCAGAAAAAAAGAGCTGCTGCAGCATGGGCCAAATAGCAGGCAATTTAGTAGCAGGCTGCACCTCAACTCTCTTCAAGTGCGCATGCTATCATGCACTAGACCTGCATGCTGCCCACCCCAGCCTCTCAGAACATCTCGCTGTGCTCCTCAGCTATGCCTTGGAAAGCGGAACCGATGCGCACAGGGGAGGGCCACTGCCATATAAGGGAAAAGTGAGAAGAAATGCAAGTGTGAGATGCTACACTTCCCATAGTTGCATCTCTTGTCAGGTCCCCTCATGAGCTTTGCAGCGCAGTGCAAACACCGTGTTCAATAGTGACGCTGTCAAGTGAGAAGTACGTGATGAACATATCGCAAGCCAAAGGGGGGCATAAAGCAGCCACACGATATGCATGCTTATCTCATGCATGCACTGCTCCTCATAATGTCTCGCACTTATGCAACGTGCTCTGACAGGCACCTCATGTCCCCCGCACTTTTGTATGTGTCTAACACATGTACATGTCTCTCATATGTCTGTCATAGTTTCTCATATTGTTCATATTTCTCATAGTTTATCATATTTCTCATAGTTTCTCATATTTCTCATATTGTATCATATTTTCTCATACATCCCATAGTTTCTCATAGTTTCTCATATTTCTCATAGTTTCTCATATTTTCTCATATTTCTCATAGCTTCTCATATTTTCTCAGATTTATCATATGTTCTCATACTTCTCATAGTTTCTCATATTTCTCATATTTCTCACAGTTTGTCATATTTTCTCATGCGCGTCTCATAGTTGCTATCATATGTTTCTCAGATGTGTCTCATGCGTCTCTCATATGTGTCATCAAATATGCTACATACTTTCTCACACATTTCTCATACTTTTGCATATGTTACCCACACGTTCTCACACGTGTCTGACATGTCTGTCATACACTGGCATTATGCCACAAGCTATTTGCTTTCAACAAGTCTACCACTCAGACTCAAGCACATAGCTGTGGTGCATAGGAGTCATATAGTGTCAGCCATGCACTCAAACATGATTGCGCAATGCAAGCATGAGGAGGCCCGCCCGGGCTTCGTCATGTTTGAATTGTCAGTCATGCTGGCATGCTGCTGCCCTCTCATTGCCTGGACACTCTTTATGACACGCTGCTATTGCAAAACGATTACGTCACAGAAAGTGCGCCCCACTCATTAATTAAGCAAAGAAGTGTTTCCTTACAGGTAGGGTCCATGCTGGCTACAGAAACACACCCTCACTGTGACCAAGACTCATCTTGTGCGTGCATGCACTCTGAGGTTTGGTCAGCTTGCCATAGTCCATGCAGAGGCCTGGGCCGGGGGAAGGGGGGCACCACTACCCATGAGCAGCCAACGCTGGCCCAGGATGCTCCATGAGCTTGCTGAGTCTGAGGAAATTGTTGAAGCTGGTTTACTTGACCCTGTGGTTTACATATATTGCCACTTTCAGCCCAGTGCAGAGCGCCCTGTTTTCTCCTCCCACGTGATACTTGAAGCAAACTTCAGCCATGGTAAGGGCAGGTGTCCAAGGGCATGCCACCCAATATGAAAACCAAAAGAACATATTGGATACCTACTAGGAGCCCGAGACCCAAAATATAAGGGCCTTCACAAAGTGCCAGGAGTTGGGGTCAGTAAATGAGGTTTGGGACAAGAATGATGGATTCAGACACCCCCAACACCCTAATGGAGGGTCCAATGATCCTCATACCCCTCTGACTCCCCGCAAGCTCTCTCAAAGTGGACCAAGCAAAGGGGTGCTGCCCAATAAAAGTGGTGCTCTGGGTTTTGACCCACGCCAAGTGATCTGCTAGCAAATCACAGCGCCCCCTCCCTAAAAAGAGGAGGTTGGTGTTGGCTTCCCCTTGGTTTTCCTGTTCTGGCAGATCCTGTAAGGGTCACGACTCCTCAAGACCCTTGGACCCTCAAGACCAAGCCATTTCAGGCCCCATCGACACTAGGGTTATGCAACAGTGCCTACTGGGTAGCAAGATGGTCCAGTGGTCCAGTGGTAAAGTTTTCCAGTGGCTTACTGGACCACTGCACCAACAAGCAAACTCACAGTTGATGATTTCTCTGAGTTCAGCACTGCGCAGGCAGTAGCTCTGCCTTGCCTGGCGTGGCATTGGCCCCCTTTCAATGCCATGCCTTTCCATGTGGCCCTGCTACTCCCCCTAATGTGTCATCAAAGCTTAAATAGCAAAACTGTGGCCCTTCCTGGCACAACCTTTGGAGGTGTCTAGTAATTATAAGAAGCCATGCGCTCTGAACCATGCAGCTGTACTCGCAAATGCGCCAGGCAGACCTCCTCATGCTGCAGGGCAAGCCGCTGCAGCTGCTGCTTGCGCCAGGGCATGTTCCATGTTGGCATGTAACATGTGCTTTGGACATGCCACTCCTGTGCTCAGCTCTTCAGCACAGGAGTTTCATGTCAGAAGCACATGTCAATCTTCTCAGTAATATGAACATGCACACACAGAAGCACACATGTAACCCATGAGGGCAAACAACGCACCACATGCGTGTCACAACCATAGTGCCTACCCACCCAATGCTCACTGTATTGTAACCATATCAAGCACTTAATCAACGCACATGTGTGGAAGCTATGCAGGCAACTTACCAACCCTCATGTGTGTAGCAATGATACTGGATGTGCATGAGTCTGCGGATAATGGCTCTGTGCTCCTCACATGCTTCTCATGTGTTTGCTAGAAACACATGTGAAGCATCTGAGAAACACTGGGCACTGAAATGCGCATGGTTTTATGGCCAATTCTTGGTTTATGGTAAACACGTACATGGCATGATTATGCCGAATTGTTGTGCCAAAATGGTCTGATTTTCCCCCATAATGTGCGCATATGCTGTATACCAGTTACCTTTTGCTAGTATACCACTTCCATGGGTCAGAGTTTCAAGGCAACATGTTGGGTACAGTTTTTTTCTGAGCCACATGCATTTGGACCCGGATCCCAACATGGCTTGCTTCGCTGTTCCTTCTGGTTTCCCTTTCAAGCCACCATAAAGGGTACCCTCAAACCAAAAAGCTCAAAAAGGGGCAAGGTCTCTCATTTGTATTACATATATATATATATATGCATATATATATATATATATATAAGAATCATACTCATCCTAGGGCCCTTCCGAGCCAACCCCGAAATCTTCGTAAGCTACCCACCTGGCCACGGAGTGGAGAGGCCGCACGTCCAAATGCAGGCCTGACCGAACACCAACCCCTTGGCTGCCCCAACTCGGAGGCCCAGGCTTCGCCCCGTTTTGTTGAGCTGATCGCCTTCTTGGGGTTGTTTCCCTCGACCCCGGACCCCTGGAAATAAAGGATTTGACCTTTTGGCGCCATGACTAAGAATGCACAAAAACGGGAAAAACAAAAAAGGTCATTTCAGGCCGATTCGCTTTCGGCAACCGAGTTCCAGGAAAAAACTGAAGGGAAACCACCGATTTCGGAGCCCAGGAGATAACCCCACCCTGTTTCGCGCCAAGCAGAGCTCTTCCGCACGTCGGCCATCGGTCTCTCTGTGGAACGCAGGGCATCATCTGCCGAAGATCGCGAAACCGGGGGCTCCACGACGCGGGGATTACTATCGCCACGGGCCCTTGCACAACTGTAAAAAAATGGTTGAAATCAATGGCATGAAGCAAAATCACATGCGGGTAATTGTTAGATGTAAGAACAAACTGGGTCTCCCAAAACATGCGATAATATATAGACACCGCCTTGCCGTCTCATTTGCGATTGACCACACATTGTGAATTGTGAGGGCAACCCTGTTTGCCAAGAGATGCGGATGGTGAAGGCATAAACGGCAACGAGATGGCATAAACGGCAACGAGATGGGGACATCCTCTCGTTTGCATTGTCCCTCTCCTTTACGGTCGACTCATGATCATCCTTCCAGGCTAAAATGGGTCCCTTGCTTTCCCTTCTTCGACCTCAAAGTGGACTAATCCGCAAGATCCTCGTTCGGCTACGCATGGAACCGTGGCTTTCATTTTTCGGGATGGATTGGCCAACCCTTTGGAAGGAATTGAAACCAGTTCCTGGGCCCTGAGCCACGGCTACCCTCCCTCCAAGAATCATGGAAGTGGACGTTTTGGGGCTTCCACAGTAGTCCTCAAGAACCCTCCTGTCAGTTGGAGAGTTAGTGTGTAGAGACACTTGGCATTACGGTGCTAGACGACCGATAGGAGAGTATGAAGGGATCCACGTCGCATCGCTAATTCGATGTGAACAATGTTCCAATGATTTCAGCGAGATTCAGAAGCATGAAGTGAAAAGCAAAAAACCCTCACTGAGGTAAGCCCGCTGAAGATTCGGCAGATTCGAAACAAAGAGAATGGCTCACTGCCTATCCCCCCACATTGCAGAGTTGTATTTACCCAGTCAAGTCACGGCCGGCGCTCAAGCTTCACTGTGGCGGTATCTCCGGTTTTATTGTGAAATTGGGTGGTCCCCCATTTCCACCCAAGTCACACCCTAGACACACTCTAGACACACCGGAGTCTAATGTGGCAATTGTCTCAAAAAAAAACACCCTAATGTCTGCTTTGTATTTTTGTACAATCTTGCCACTCAAGTCTATGGCCGAGCCCTAGGATCAAACTCGATGGCCTTCGATTGAAGTCAACCGTCCCGAAAGGTGGCGCAAAGAAACCTTCATCTGTTTTGGTGGCTGAATTTAATGATCGAAAACCAACCGGGGAGAACAAAAACGAAAACAAAAGCGAAAACAAAAACAAAAAGCATAAACACGAAACAAGGGTGCAACTGGGCAAGTAGGTAAGTCTGCACTCAGCATCACAGGCCACGAAGTCGTGGAACCCGTCGTCTTGACGGCTCCAGCATTGCTAGCAAACCCACAAACCGCCTGTTTGAGGCCTCGGCTTGCTCGGGCGCCGCTTGTGTTTGATTTCGCAAGGCTCCACACATTTCTCGACCCGCAACTTAACGAGGACACCCTGTAACCGTTCGAAGGCGGACATTGGCGAAAGTCTGGCGGTGAGCAAGATGCAAAAGGAAGGAAGGGGTTGATCCACAACTCATAGAATCGCACTTGCACAACCAAATCGTGGCCCCATTGACGTGGAGCTTGAACTGTGGATATGTGAGCACCAGTGGCTTAATCACGTCTCACACAAACTGCTCACTGCAAGGTCCAAGACAAAAGGCAGTATGCTTTGAGGTCACCGTAAGGGGCATGAACAGTCTAGCTGTTCAGCAGGTGCCTTACAATGGCAAACCGGCCTAACCCCTGCTAGGTTGGCAGCAGAACTTTGCTCTTTGCAGCCACTACAAATCGCCTACCGCTGCCGTTGTCCAACTCCCGCGTGGGGAATGTCTATGGGTCCCTGGAGGCTTCAGGCGTGTGTTGGTCTCCAATTTACTTCTCAAAGGGTTGATGACCATCACTATCGATCTCCAACAGGTGCGTTGATCCTGCCTCATCCGCTCAATCAGAACGCCTCATACCTTGAGCAAGTGCACATAACGGTCATGTGGTCGATGAAGCATGGCTTTCAACGTGAGATATCAACACAGTAGCTGACAAAATCTGGTCCTAATCAATGCCAGGAAATTGGGTCCCCGATCAGTTGTCATGATCAGTCTGCGAGGTCGGTTTTGCGTGTTTGATCGGTCGTGCAGTTGTGCGGGCTTCTTTCGGTTCTTGCTAATCCCAAGGCGCCCCGAATGCTGAGACTATCGATGATTCTGTCGAATTGGAATCCGTCTGTGCCGATCCTTTACCAGGCTGAATGCATGGCCAGCATCCATGCCGCGAGCCGCAGCATCGAAGCGACGAAGCGACGAGGCGAGGCGCAGCTCGGAAAATGCCGGCGCTCTCTGCGCGGTGTGACACACGGAGCTGAAGGTTGAGGGGTTGCAGAGCCAGTGCTTGTGTTTCAATGGGGGGAAGCCCAAAGGGTGGTTTCCTGTGGGTTTCCTCCATGGATTTTCGAAAAGGGTCGCCCGCGAAAAGACACGCCCAGCTCAATCTGCGACTCAGGTACTTGTTCGTAGGGAAGCAGTTCGGACAAGTGAAATGGTGGAGAAGAACAGAATGTCTAGCCTACTTCAGCAATCATCCAGATCTACTGACCTGCTGGTTCAGTACAGGCTAACACCCCACCCCCCACCCTCCCCAAACACCGGGAACACAAACTTTTGGCAGAACCCAAAGGGTAAGAGTTAAAAGGTCGGCCTACCGAGCAACCAAACACAGGTGGGCCATTCTGTCAGGGCTTCTCCAAACAAGAAAGTCAGCGCGTGAGAGCAGCTCTCACCAAGAAAGCCAACACCCTGCTCAACAAGGGCTTCGGGCGCCCACGTAGTCTTCGCAATGTCCCCAGAAAGTTGAAGGGCCAGTTGACCCAAGGGATCCCAAGGGGACGATCCATGCAAAGGTTCTGGGCGCAGTTCATGGCCTCAGTGGCCACAAGACGTTTGAAAGGACATCTTTCATGAATCATGGCTTCCATTTGGTCCCCTGGAAAAAATTCGCCTCGGCCCCAAGGGGGCCAGGCACTCAGATCTCTTTTCCAAAAAATATTTGCTTGTCCCCTTCCCCCTTTCCCACCCAAAATTTATTCGGCCCAGCCGCCGCTCATGTCCGGCGGGCCTTGAAACTTGGCCAGACCTGTCTAACGTGCCTGAGACAAGCCTCAGGCCCAGCCCAGCCAGCAGCCCACCGAAGCAGACCTAGCCCAACTAGCCCAGCCAACCACATCCCCAGCCCGACCGATCCACGCTTGAAACAAAACCATGCCGACGCAGTCGATCAAAACTGCCGTGCCGCAGCTCTGCTTTGGTTGCCGAGACTTTCTGCGCAACGTCCGCCCATGACATCCACTGCCCCGGCAGCAGCGCCACTGACTCTTGGCTCCATGACTCACTGACTCATGATCCTATGCATCGCCTTGCCCGTGCCTCGCAACTTCGGCCCATGACTCATGACATCAATTGGTCCAAGGACGCCAGAACCTGTCCATTCCTGAATCGCCACTTGACTAGCTCTGCTGCTTGCAGTCGAACCACAAGCGCTGCGCGCTCGCGCAGCGTTTACAATAAAATTCATGTCCGGTAGTGATAGATTCCCTTTAAAACCAAGAGGAGAAAATAAACAATATTCTCAAGCAAATGGAAGATGTGCCCCGTGGCCGTGTTTCACCCTGGCTCCTGACCCCTCGGAACCTTGGCCGCTCACTCCGGCACCTCGCAAATCACCTCGGCCAAGCTCCGCGCAGCTTTGTGGGTGGCTAGTCTGCTTCCCAAGTCCGGGCACGTGGGGGCTGGGGGGTCTAACTCCTGTGCCAAAAAAACGCTTCGAACCCGCCGCTGAGCGAAGGGGCGGCGCTGCTGCGGAAGCCGCAGGCGACGGCCACGACGGTCCTGAAGCCCCAGGACTCGACTCGAGCGCAGGGGCGGCTTTTGCTCCAACGCAAACAAGCACAGGCGGCGGGGGGCTCGCCGTTTTCAGATCTGCCAAAAGTTTTTACGTAACTTTCGTCAACTTTTACTGGGCTAAAGGGAAACTACCACTAAAACCTCACTAAAAACTTTAAAAAACAGCTATTGGGATGGCCCGGAGCCTGGAACCCTGGCACGGAGCCGCGAAAATTCGCGGGGCAACGACCGCGAAGCCTTCGGTGCTTCGGGAAAAACGGAAGCAAAACCCGAGTGGCAAAGGGAGCTCTTGGAGGGAACCCCGCCACAGAAACGCAGGGGGGGCTATGCCCCGAGAAGCCTCCGGAATCCTCCCGGACAGCGGCAGAAACCCCCGAGTTGATCCAGAAGCTCGCCACAGAGCTTCCAAAAAGAGGGTGCTTCTTGAGTTGGGAGAGCTGGTGCACATAGTAGTTGTCCTTTTGGTTTCCCTTTCAAGCATTCAAATGATTCAAATGCGCTTCCTTAATGTGTACCCAGGATGAATACACCGAGCGCTGGTTGATAAATAAGTGTACAACTCATTTCAGAGTGTAGCTCCCCCCCAAAAGAAACATGATGAAAGAAGCAAACACGCTGAAACATAGCAAATGGTACTAAACAAAACAACACTCACATCCCCCCTGCTCCTTCACCCTCCCTTCTAAATTGGTCCTTGAACACTCCGGCTTTTGATATCTCCATTTCCCTCCCAACCAAAAAAAGAACAGGTCAAAGGGCAAGCTGGTGGACCTAGACGGGGTTCCTCAGGTGCTGCGA